CACATTTAAAACCTGAATGTGAATAATGAACTAAATTTTCTTATCTTCAACGGGAATTGAATTGAATAAATTTCGTTGTTACGAGTCTGATTCTCAACCGTGATATATATGAATTATTTCTACTCTGTCCTAAATTCATTTGAGTTAATTTCCTTAGATTAAATGAATCGATGACCACCATATGCTTATATAATAACCGTTCTTGTTGATCAGGCTATCAACACAAGCAGAGATCTTTTAGGAAGATATAACTGTTGGGACTCCTCGATAGCTTTGACATATGTGGAAAGGATATTGAATAATCGAAAACCAATACTGGCAGCAAACCACCTACATGTGAAGTCATCCGGAAAGAACCAGGATTTATTATTGACGGCCACAGACTCAATATAAACTATGCAGATGACACAGTGTTGATAGCAGACACAGAAAATAAACTACAAGAAATCTTACAAGAAGGTAGTAAAGGAAAGCAAGAAGACAGAATGCATGGTTGTCAGCAAAAGGATATTAAAATAGAAATTAGGTATTGGGAGAAAAATAAATATCTGGGAAAAATTAAATATTTTGGACATAGGATGGAAAGTGCAACACTGAAATCCGAAGATGCATTGGGATAGCGAAAGATGCTTTTCAAAAGCTAAGCAAAGACAATAAAAAGAATCATTAAAAAGAAAGAAAAAGAGTACTGAACTTTTATGTGATATGTCCTCCTGTATGGTATTTAATGCTGGAACAATATCCTCAAAGATGAAGAGGAGACTTGAAGCAACAGAAATGTGGTTCTACAGAAATATGCTGAGGATACCATGGAACATGTAAGAAGTTTTATTTTAGAGAAAATAGAAACCAAAAAGAGACTTAACATTAGGAAGAGACAGTTGAGATTTCTGGGGCATATAATGAGGAAGGAGGGTTTGGAAAACCTGATACACATAGGACAGATTGAGGGACAGAGGAAAGCAACATAACAGGGTTTGGGAGAAATAACAAAGTCAAAATTTATTAAGAGCTACAAGGGGCAAGGATGATGAAAGGCCATAATCACCTACGTCCTGAAGGGACACAGCACATAAAAGATACAAAAATCAGTTTTGATTTCACATTTATTTTTGTTCTATATTTATTCCTCCACAGATATTCATATTTTGCCTTATGGCCAAATCATGTTGAAAGCAACAGTTCTTGTTCAATCACCAAAGTTAAGCAGTGTTGAGCCTGATCAGTACTTAGATGGGGGACCACTTGAGAACATCACATACTGTAAGTGACCTCTTAGAAAAAGTTTGAGTAATAGCTGGACCATATATAGCTAGAGTCCACATATTGGGCCATAGTGCCATCAGACAACCTATTAATAAGCAGTATAAAGATCATAATCACATTAGACAGCTACTCACAAACACTATCAAAATACTTATAATCCTTGAAGCTGATAGTCATTTAACAAAATCAACCATCAATAAATAAAAGCAATTATAACTTAAGAGCTTGCATTCTCAAATGTATATAAAAAAAAATACATCATCACATCGCAAACATCACAACACTTTGCCTACATCACAATAAGCTAGTGCTTTATGAAACTCACCAATTGTCTCTACCTTTTCCTGAAGTTAAAAAAAAATATGCTTGAATCTGTTCTTGTATTTTTAATCCAAAAAACAGACAATTTCTGATGGAATTTCCTCATGTCACCTTATTTTTTAATATGTCCTGTTAACTTTCATGAATAGAATGCAAAAGCAAAATGTGACGTAAATTAAAATCAAGAAAAAATAAAATGTGACAATAGTCTGAACATTTGACATTTGTTAATGACAACCAAGTCAATAATTTGAGTCTCTGCTGGTTTTTTTTTTTTTATTCAAAATTTAATGATGAGGGCCTATTTAGGGAGGTGCAGGTAGTGTTCACTGATATCAATATAGAATTAGCAAGCAGAGTTTGAATTCAAAGCTAACCTGATGCATTCACTTTCACATCAAAATTCAAATGCCCTTTTTGAAATATTTAAATCCATTTCTTCTCTCCCCATCTATATGTTAAATAGCAGTGCTCTGGATGAAGAGGGCTATATATTATGGACATGCTACAGAAGTCGGCACTCAAAATTATAACAGGTGGCAGTTTGTTGCAGTTTCATAACTGGATTCTGCCTGTCACATTCCATATGTGCTGACGAGAAAAGGTCATAAAAATCAAATGTGTGGGTCATTTGTATAAGTTAAGGTCCACCTTAAAGAAATTAATGCCATTGATACTTTCTTCTACTCTGATTTTCTTTCACATTCAACTAACTCTTGTAAAGCCAAACACCAATAGGGAATGGCTAACAGGAGCAGATTTTATGAAACTGGAATCTTCTAGTCCTGAACCTGCACATTGATGGCAAATATAGTCATCAACACAATCATCATAAAATAAACAATCAGCAAAGAAGAAATTAAATTCTTGGATACAAGATAAAGCTGTCAATGACAGGTGTGAGTACATAATATAGTTGAGTTGAAATTAAGTAGTTGGCTTGCCTGGGGACTAAGAAGTCTCCCAAGAGTGAAAGACATAGACTCGTATTCTACCTACCATATTCTGTGGTTATAAAGAGAACAAAAAAGTATAAAGTGTTTATGTCCTTTTCTTTAATATTGCTTATTTCTATGCAATTTAGTGGGTGCTAAGCAAAGCAACTTGTAGACAAAGTATCTGTAATCCTGGAATCACAGAGCAATTCTTTTTTCATTGATTTTTCACTTGTTTTGAATAAATAATTTTTTTATTTTTTTTTTCTTTCCAGACGCCCCATCCCAAGTATTCCACCCAGGATTCCTGACCGTCCGTCCGTGTGCCAGCGCCCAACGTGAAGAGGTTACAGAAACTGACCCCATGATGTGTAGTGTCCAAACACCACCTACTACTAGATAGGAGAGATAGTCATCTTCATCACCACCACCGCCAACGACAACACCATACGTCATCTTCTTTACGTCTTCATTGTCATCATCTGTCTTTTCATTGTTTTTGGTTCCCATCATCCCCCAACCATCATCATCATCATCAACAGCAACATCAGTGGTGCCAATTGTTATCACTTGATGTGGGTAATGATGATTATAGTAACCATAGCAACAACAACAGTGATGATGACAAAAATATGTGGGAAGTGGGGCAGTTGGGATTGAGAGAGGGAAGAAATCTGGACACATGTCATGAAAGCAACTAGAATAATAATAATTTCTCAAAGGAAAGAATGGCCAAATCCATCCAAATTGTTAAAAATAAATAATAGGTAAAAATACAGATGACATGACAATAATCATTTTTTTTACTTTCAATCAATTTGCTAACAAAACACAAAAGTACCCTTGACACAAATGCACACACACACACACACAGGTTTGAAATAGATTCTTATAAATTTAGATATGCTTAGAATATGTTAGGGGTGGGGAAGATATCTTTAATAATGTTTCCTGAAAATATGAATTTTCTGAGAAAAATATTTTTTCTTTTAGTGATCACTATAGCAATAAAAACATGTATTTTTTTTTTTATTTTAGATATTTAAAAAACATATATGGTGTTTGATTTTTTGGTCAAATGGGTTTATTCTTATGTAGTCTCAAAAAATAACTAAGTGTATTTGATAAGATTTCAGATTCTCTCTCTCTCATATATATATATATATATATATATATATATATATATAAAATGCATATCAATTAATTTGTGTTTTGGTAGCCTCAGAAGAAAAATGATAGTTATAATTTTTTATTTTTGATAATATATCTGGGATATCTTTAAAACAAATGGTTAGTGTGTGTGTGTGAAGATTTATCTTTCTTTAGTCAGGGCTTTACTTCTTTTATGTAATATAATAGTTATCTTGATTAATAGTTGAAATGCTTGTGTAAAAGTTCTTGTAATAAATGGGACTTTTTTTTTGTATGTGGAAGCAGAAAAATTCCTAAAATGTAGAAAAAACTTGTGGACAAAAAATTGTGTAAATAATAAAAAATTGATAATAAAACAAATATTAATAATAATAATATTGTAATGATAACAATAAGATTTGTGATCCAAAAATCTTTAATCTAGAAAAATAAGTGCTGGGTGATGAAAATAAATAACATAATACTACACCCCTCTTTTCACATTGGTGTTTTTATTTTCCAAAGCCTTGGGTAAAAGTAGTTAGCCTAAAAACAAATTTTTTTAGATTTTTTTTTTTTTTTGTAATAACTTTATATATTCTACTGTCATGTCTTTGAATAAATTAATGAGAAAATATTTAAAAAAAATAACTATCCCCAAAAAAGACAAAAAATAATCTAGTTTATTGGTTTAAAAAAAAAAAAAAAACTGTAGTTGTCATGATACTATATTTGAAAGAAAGACTCAATTCACTTGTTTATAAATTTATCTAGAATGGATTATACATATTTTTTTTTCTCCTGTTTTCATCTTCCCAACATAAACCACAAACTTATATCAGCAATAATCATAGTGACTTGAAAGGTTATTTACAACCCCAAAAAAAAGCCAAATTTTTACTAACTTGTTGTAAAATTAAAGCAAACATGAAAGTAAGTATACATGTTTGCTGAATTTATGAATGCTAAAGTTGTGTGTGTTTGTGTGTGTGTGTAAATCAAACAGTCTACATTTCTTTAGGCAACCAAGGCATTGCAACACAAGTCAGGAAATGTGGTGGTGTTGTTCAATTTATTCTATAGAAGTCTTATGTATGTAGGTTTGTAATTTTACATTAGAAAGCAAATCAGTTCCGGTGGTTCCATAATATTATTTACTGAAACCATGTTGATTTTATTTTTTTTTTCGTACGATTTTCCACCAAAAAAAAGAAAAACAAAATGGAAAAAAAATCAAGTCGTAAAAAAAAAAGACTTGATTTGTTCTCGCAGAATATTTTTATTTAAAAGAAAAGAAAAAAAAATGTCTGTGTCTGGGATGAATAATTTTTGTTTTTATAATAAACATTCCTATTTGGCAATTATTCATGCAAAATTTCCCAAACAATGGTTTGAAAGATTTAACTCCGTGTGTTTTTGTAAATTTTTATACTTCCGTGTTTTTGACTGCCGATCAGCAGCTAAGTCTATATTTTTACCTTAAATTGACACTTTATGTTGATACATGGCAATAATAAATTATTAAACGACATTATTTTTTATTATTATTTTTATTTTTCCGTTTTGGATTAGCGAGTTTGTAAAAAAAACCAAATACGACAAATTTGAGGACAATGAGTTCGAACTTCAATGGAATTAAGAATGGCAATAGGGCTTTGTGCCACATCTAAGCTACGCTTAGTAAACCACTATTATTATTATTATTATTATTGATAGTGTAAAAGTAATTAGCAGTGCTTTTGATGGGACAAAAGATGGAGCATTATTTGAAGACAATGATATCCGTAGTAGTAACAGTACTAGTGACCACGAGTTTTTAGGCTTTGTTGGTGGAACATTTACGGGCTTTGAAAGTCATTAGTAACGAGTAATAAACGTGAAAATTTCACAGTTTTTGAATTTCTGAAGAATCTTAATTCTTAAGTTAATGATTGAATAATCTCCTTCCAAATTCAATGACTATCAAATGCCCATGGAAATCTCCCTTATTGTACCGTTAGATATTTTAGCTTAACGACTTTAACAAAATATCGCAATAATTCTTAAATGTATGAATGCATATAATTATTTAAAGAAGGAAGAGGGCACAAAGAAATATATTTAAAATTGACAAGTTTTTCCATTTCACTGAAGCAGACGTTAAACGCTTGGGAGTATTATCGCTACCCCTTTCTTTCGTTTATTCTTTCTTCCTTTTTTCTCACTGAAACCAAACAGCGTCATTGATATGTCTTTTCTGTCTTTCCTCGCGATCAAAACGGAATAGTGCATTATTTAATGAGGTGTTGGCAGAGCGTAACATACGTACTAATTAAGAAACAAGCTGAATTATAATATTTTGTTCCAGAGCACGGAATTTCTTTTCCCGTTCGCTCACTGTGTTTCGGTTGTTTTTTTCAACTGTGGTCGCAGTTGGCTTTTTTATAAAATGTTTTCTGACTTGCTTTTTGTTGCAATTTTTTATTACTGTAATCATATAGGATATTGCCACTAGTGTGATTTCTTGCTTTTTTAAATTGCTTTTTATATACAGTAATGTTATGTTTTGTAATTTGCTTTAAGCACTACATTAAAATCTTTTTCCTGAATATGCCCGTCTTTTTATGCCATTCT